TCTGTATGTAAGTCAGAACTGGCGGTCAGTTTCAGCAGCGGCTGAATCTGGACGCCAGTTCCGACTTACATACAGATTCAACTTAAGAACAAACCTACAGTCCCTATCTTGTACGTAACCCGGGGACTGCCTGTATATTGATTTCAATTACAACATTGACTAAAAAGTGTGCAGTTCTCACTTTATATTTTTTATTACAAATACTATAACAATTACAAAAGAAACTATTTCTTGTGTTTTATGGAGCAATTTGTAATACAAAAAGTTTATTCTTTTATACTTTGTATTCTGTTGTAATTGAAATCAATATATTAAAAAATATGGCATTTATTTAAACAGCCCAAATAATTGTGCAATTAATTTTTAATCACACAATTAATCATGATTTGGTTATCACTTGACAGCCCTCATACAAATTCCTACAATTAACTTTTAATAACCAAATCATGATTAATTGTGCGATCACTTGACAGCCCTCATACAAATTCCTAATTGCGTATCCAATCTGCGTATGCTTTAAATGTTAGTTCCTATTGTCTGCACCTTTTGTATCAGGAATTGAAACTGATTTGTCTAGTTTCACTGTCCAGGCAAAATATAATTCAAAAAACCCCTTCTGGCAATTTAAAATAAATGTTGGCCTTTTCTTAATTGTAGGCGCTGTTACTAATACACGTAAGGAATTTTTTTTTTTTTGCATGTGACTATTAAGGTTCAACAGCATCCCTTTGGAACAGAGTCATGGATTTCATACCATTTTGGTAATTGCAGCAGAATTTAAAACAAATATTGGGATTTTTTTAAAGTCACAAAAAAAACCCTAATGTTTACAAACCAGTTATATCATGCATCTGACAGAATAAATAAAGCTACATTGTTCATTAACTCATCTAGGATAAATCATCCCCAACATCAAAAAGATGCTCTCATAATCCTACCCAGGCTCTACTTCCTCCAGCTAACCTCTTTCAAATGTACTAAGTTATCCTAGTAGTGATAGCGGACAGAAATTCTGAACACAATGAAAAATGCATACTTTCTTCTTCAACAGGATTTACTAGGAAAAAAAACTTTAGTCAAATATTTTTAATTTCAAAATTGTCAATCAGAAGGAAAAAGTATACAAGAGAAAGGAGGCAAGTCTCTATGAAGTCAGTGGGCAGGATACTTAGTTGTTTTTCCAAGGGACTACCTAAGGGCAGTAGATGTTATTTCCAAAAGCTATCCAAATGTAATCTTTGGGATGGAAATTGTTATAATACAAATAACTCCTCCTTTTGCTGAAGAGTTCCTAAAGGACTTCACTACACAGTAACATTCAGTGCATATTAATTCCCATTATACAAAATAAAGCAAATCCCATATCTACTGTTTGTGCAATTTCATTTGAGAGAGCAGAAATACTATCCAAAGTTCTACAAATACCTGACAATACAGAATAGATTGATGTTCGCATTATATACAGAGAAATCAATAAAGGTGGCCCTTGTTCCTCTATCCAGCCACAAGTGTTTCTTAAGGTTAGCAATCTGTGCTGCAGTCGCCTCTCTGCTTCTTGACAGATCCTGATAGTAACCAGCCCCACTGTATGAGGCAATCAGCCCCCAATGGCTACTCCCATTCAAATCTTGTTCACTGGTGTAAATCCAACTATTTTAAAATTCCAAGAAAGAGAATATGTTATTATTTTCATCTATAACATCACATATATGCTGTTATATAATTATATCATGTTTAAAATTCCAAGAGAGAGAATATGTTATTATTTTCATATATAACATCGCATATATGCTGTTATATAATTATATCATTTAAAAGTATAGCTATTGGGATTTTTAAGACCTACTAAGAAAAAAGTTGCTTAATAAAGTTGCACTATGAAGTTGCTTAATATTAACAGACAAAATTAACAGATAATGACAAGTCACAGTAAATCAATTAAGTCTTGACAACAGATTATTTTCAATTGACACAGGGAGTTAGTATAATAGAAGATTAGGGTTCAACTAGCCTGAGATCTCTTCCAACTCCCCTGCTCAAAGCAGGACCAACCCCAAACAAAATCTCAGTCAGGGTGTTGTCAAGAATGGCTGTAAAAATCTCTAAGGATGGAGTTTCCACTACTTCCCTAAGTAACCCATTCCAGTATTTCAACACCCTCCTATCTTGTATTCCACGTCCTTTTCTGCAGAAATGCCACTTGCTAATTGGTCCTCAGTCTGCAGCAGTGCATGGGATTCTTCTGTCCTAAGTGCAGTGTCTGCACTTGTCTTTGCTGAAGCTCAGATTTCTTTTGGCCCAATCCTCCAATTTGTCTCTGTCACTTTGGATCCCATCCCTACACTCCAGCATATCCATTCATGGAGAATAGGTCAATCAATAGCTGTTAGCCAGGATGGATAGGGATGGTGTGCCTCACCTCTCTGTCAGAAGCTGAGAATGGATGATAGGGAGTGGATCACTTGATGATTACCTGTTCTGTTCATTCTCTCTGGGGCACCACGCATTGGCCACTGTCAGAAGACAGGATACTGGGCTAGATGGACTTTTGGTCTGACCCACTATGGCCATTCCTGTGTTATTACTTCTCCCTCAAGTTTAGTGTCATCTATAGTCATGCTGAGGGTGCAATCCATCCCAGCATCTACAGTCATGCTGAGGGTGCAATCCATTCCAGCATCTAGATTATTAATCAAGATGTTGAACAAAACTGGCCCCCTAACCAATCCCTGGCTCACTCTGCTTGATTCAGGCTGCCAATTAGACATCGACCCATTGATCACTTTCTGCTGAGCTTGACAATCTGGCCACCTCTTTATTTACCTTATAATCCATTCATTCATTCTTTAACTTGCTGGAAAGAATACTGTGGGAGACTATCAAAAGCTTAGGTTAAGTCAGGTATATCACATCCACCACTTTCCCCATATCCACAGAGCCAGTTATCTAATCATAGAAGGCAATCGGATTGGTCAGGTATAACTTGATCTTGATGAATCCATGTTGACTGTTCATGATCAACTTCCTCTACTCCAAGTGTTTCAAGCTGGATTCTTTTAGGTCCTGCTCCATGATTCTTTCAGGGATTGAGCGAGGTTGACCAGTCTGTAGTTCTCTGGATTCTCATTTTTTTTTTTTTCAAAAGATGGACATTTGCCTCTTTCCAACTGGACAGGATCTCCCCCAGTCCCAAAAGATGGACATTTGCCTTTTTCCAACTGGACAGGATCTCCCCCAGTTGCCATAAAGTTTCAAAGATAACGGCCAATGGCTCTGCAATCACATCAGCCAACTCTCTCAGCACCCTCAGATTCACTGCATCAGGCCCCATGCACTTGTGCATGTCTAAGCTTTTCTAAACAGTTCTTTACTTGTTCTTTCACTAGGGCTGCCCACCTCTTCCCCATATTGTGCTGCCCAGTGCAGCAGTCTGGGAGCTGGCCTTATCTGTAAACAATAAGGTAAAAAAGTATTGAGTACTTCAGCTTTTTCCACATCCTCTGTCATAGGTTGACTCCTCCATTCAATAAGGGTCCCACATTTCCCCAGACCTTCTTGTTAACATACCTGTAGAACCTTTCTTGTTATCCTTCGCATCCTTTGTTAGCTGCAACTCCAACTGTGCTTTGTCCTTCTGGATTATACCCCTACACGCTCAAGCAATAGTTTTATACTCCTCCCTAGTCATCTGTCCCTGTTTTCACTTCTTGTAAGCTTCTTTTTTGTGTTTAAGCTCCCAGAAAATCTCTCTGCTAAGCCAATTGGGTCGCCTACCATATTTGAAATTCTTTCTGCACATTGGGATGGCTTATTCCTGTGTCCTCAATAAAGGCCTCTTTAAAATACTGCCAGCTCTCCTGGATTCCTTTCCCCCTCATATTAACCTCCCAGGATATTGTTGTATTTTTGCTTAATGAAACAAAAAGCATGCATACACTGCTTGTATTTTGTACAAATAATTTCTGCACAAAATACATTACAAATTAGCCTTCATAAAGCCTTTGTCACCTTGACAGGAGGTGATGTCTACACTGCAGGCTTCTTGTGCAAGAACTTTTTGCACAAGAGTTCTTGCACAAAAGTTCTTGCACAAGAAGGGCTTTTTGCGCAAGAGTTATTCCTCTCCCCATGAGGAATAAGCCTTTTTGCGCAAGAGCTCTTGCGCAAAAAGGCTAGTGTGGTTGTGCAACAGGGGTTTCTTGCGCAAGAAACCCCTGTTGCACAACCACACTAGCCTTTTTGCGCAAGAGCTCTTGCGCAAAAAGGCTTATTCCTCATGGGGAGAGGAATAACTCTTGCGCAAAAAGCCCTGTATTCTTACACTTTACTGTACTTTTTCTTGCACAAGAACGGGCTTGTAATGTGGACGCTCCGCAAGTTCTTGCGCAAGAAGCCTGCAGTGTAGACATGGCCAAATAGTATACAGCTTTTGGCAAATACCACTGAAGAATCAGTTAAAAACCATCCACAAAATTGTAGAATGAACACAAGTCTATGAGAATGAGGAGAAATACATACGCTGTTCCATTTTGGAGCCCAAAAGGATCAGTATCTTCATTAGCAACAGAATAAACATCATAGCACTCTTTAATTTCATCTTTTAAATCCTCAGGTATTGAGCATGACCCATTTTTTACTTTCAGCTGCCGAATACGAGGCACCCCCAAAAGCAGGTTCTCATAATAAATGAAACTTCTGTTTTCTGTCGTGGTTTTATTGTTGTACCACATCTCCCAGTACAAACCATCCAGCAAAGGGCCTTCTGTGAACTAAGGAAAAAGAATTTTAGGGATGCTAATTTCTCTCTAAACCAACACTTGACATTTTTACACACATCCACTCCTGCCGAGGATGTATTTTACATGTTGATTGGCAGGGGGGCAGGGATGGGAAAGCCCGGCGATTCATGGGACTGATCAAGCAAGCTGTGAGCCAGCTCTGCCTGGCATAGGGAGAAGACGGCTCCTACACTGCAGGGAAACGCTCCCTGCAGGCTGTCAGCTCACAGGGCCATTGACAAACAGGATTATGGATTCTCTTCAACACAGAGTAGATTAGGGATAGTTGCTTTTATTAATTTCTCCACATCACTACTATTACAGGGTTAATGCTGCCAAATACTGGTTACACAGCTACTGCAAAGTGACATCAATAAGCACAGGCAGAGCAATGCATAAAAGAGTAACAGGCACTTGTAAATGCTTACATCCCTTCAGTCTGCGGGAAGTCCCATTCCTGTCCCCACGCACCAGGGTGACGCGACTCCAGCTGAGGGAAATCCGGGCATGCTCGAGGTTGGGGTCCCAGGTGAAACTCACCAGGGGCAGGACTCCCAATGATCTTATACCTTAGCTGTTTACTGAGTGTGCATGCACTGGCTCAATGCCACTCTCAACATTCCCATGGAGCTGAGAACCGAAGTCATGTTATTTATCCCATACTCAGTTCTCAGCTAGGAAGCATAGGGCTGCAGCTGATGATTTTGCCAGCAGGATTTATGGCTGGCCTAGAAGAATAGAAATGTAACCCTTTCAGGCCTACATATGGCCTACACTACACAAAGGCACTATCCCCAGTTGCTCCCGTTGGCCAGGAATCATCAGCCAATGGGAGCAGTAGAAGGGCAGTGTCTGCAGGGAGTGCTTCCCTGCAGCATGCAGAGCCACACAAAGATACCTTTGCCCACGAGGAGTTGCGCCAGGTAGGCGCCCAATCTCCTGCCCTCTTCCACCTAGACCCTGTACTCCCACCCCTAGCTTACTGCTGTACCCTCCCAGAGTCTGCACCCCACACCTGCACCTCACCTTCCACCCAGACCTTGCATCCTCACCCCATTTCTGCAGCCTACCTCCTGCCCAGACTTTGCACCCCACCCTGTTCCTACACCCTCTGTTCCAGACTCTACACCCAAGCCCACTCCTGCACCCATCCTCCCTTCCAGACCCTGCACCTTCAACCCCAGCTTCCTCCTGCAACCTACCGCCAGCCCAGATTCTGCATCCCCAATCCACTCCCTAGCAGCCTCCTCCTGTACACTGAACCCCTCATTTTTATCCCCACCCCAGAACCTAGGGGGGCACAAAATTCACAACTCCAGCCCCCCAGAAGAGTTAATCCAGCTCTGAGCCTCAGCAGTGCTCCCTCACCCTTGGGCTGGAGCTTGAGGGAAGTGAGGGGTATGCCTTTTACATCTGCTTCTCAGTTGGGGAGCATATCTTTGAGGAGGCCAGGTCAGAGAGGCTGTGGTTTTTCATTTTTTTGCTTTTCACTTGTGTCTGGCCCCAGACTGATTTTTCTGTGAAGGCTCCCCACCCCTGGAATAGAGCAAGGAATAATGAAGGATTCTGAGTTCTTTTAAAAATGGAGAGATCCTCTGTGGCCATGTCTGCACTAGGAAAATATTCCCAATAAATCTGCCATGAATTCAGCTAGATGCATCTCTCTTCTTCACTCATATTTATGCTCATTGCAGTTGAGTCAATAGAGCACAGATTTTTGTATTAAACATTAAAATAATGTGCCTGGTTGAGTTACAAAGATGAAAAATATGAAATTTAAAATACATGAATTAAAGTGACTTATGAACAATTATTATTGGGTAAAATTTTCAAAAGTGCCCAAGTATTTTTTCAAAATTGACTTGGTGCCTTTGAAAGTCAATGGGACTTAGAAGTGTAAGTGCAAAAGTCATTTTTGAAAAATATTACCTTAAATCTGTAGATGAGTATGTTTTCCGAGGGATTAGAGGAATAAAATTAGTTTTGGTATATTGAAATTGTTTTAAATATTTTTAGTACGTCACATAGCCACACTATGTATTAATTATTGCATTGTCATGCTTGAGCAGACAGCTACAGCCACCCTCTGCACAATGCAAAGACTATTGTATTGACATGCCAGCCCTGATAATAGTGCAAAAAAAGGGAATGCAAACAAAGGTCCAAATGCTGCAAACAGTTATACATGTAATTAGCTTTAAACACAAAGTACAGTCCAACTCAGGAGTTTAGAAACAACTTTGAACAAACTGTTATGACTGTTCTTTCTGAAGTTTAAAAGTGAACATTGACCTAATATAATTTTGAAACTCTGCAGAAAAAAAATGATTTTAATATCTTAATTTACACTAAAACCAGCACAAGAATTGTTTCCTTTCTTTATCTTTAACTTTTCCTTTTTTATAGTTTAACATAGTACTGCATTTGCTTTTTTTTTTTTTCATCTCTGGCACTGCCCTATTGCATGCTTACAGTTCCAGATGAGGTATGTGGCTGTCAGATCAGTTCATAACTGAGCTTCTACTGTAACAATGAAATCAACAAGACTACCATTACTAATTCTTGATGCAGCACATAACAGGAACTTTGCAGGTGTTTTATCAATTAGGTCAGTAGCATACAGATCTGACAGGTAACTGGATTAGTATATGGAAAAATTTAAAACACAACAGTCTTGCAGCACCTTAGAGACTAACAAAACATGTAGATGGTATACCATAAACTTTCGTGAGCACAACCCACTTCTTCAGATGAAATTATTATTAGTATTAGTATATGAAATTAGTATATGAAAACCAGCATTATCTTTCATGATTGAAATCCAGGTTCCAGAAGTGAATCTAACCAAGTATTAACCCAGTGTGACATCTAGATTCCTAAATTCAGCATTTGTATTTGAGTGCCCTCAATAACTGTGGCTCTGTCTACACTACAAAAATTTGCTGGTGTAATATACCAGTAAATCCTTCTAGTGTAGATGCAGCTTATAGTGACAAAAGAATGCTTTTGCTCATATGGCTTATACAAGTTTGCTGAACAAAATAAGTGATAGTAGCAAAGCATTTTTGCTAGAATAAAAGTGTATTTACAAAAAAATTACATTCCCAGGCAACATTACTAAACCAGCAAAGTGTAGCTCATATCTAAGAGATTGTTGGTTATGATGGAAAATTTAAACAATATTTACATATTAAAGTTGTGAGTCCAGAGGAAAAAAATAACTAATTTACAGTAATAAGAAGATTGTTTTCCCTTCACCTTCCAGAAGTCTTCCATGGTGGATAAGGTTTTGAAATTGGTTTTCTCCATTTTCGATAAAGGTGTTTCCAAGAACAGCTGGGACATTACCCTAGTGTAATAGTACATACTGGAACTCACCATCCCATACGTCACTGCAGGAGACATTTTTGGTAGGGGGAGAGAAAAAGATGGAACCAAGTTTAAAATTTCAACAGCATCCAATTGTATTTCATACAGAAGTGCTGACATTCCTAATTACAATAAAACTCAAGACAAGCTTTTCCTCCTCCCTCCAATAATCACTATTAATCACACTGAAGTTGTCTTTTGCTGAGTCTACATGGCAATTAAAAGCCTGTGACTGGCCATAGCTGCTGAACTGGGCTCATAGAGCTAAGGGGCTACTTAACTGAGATGTAGACATTTGAGCTCAGCATATAGCTCAGACTCTAGGATCCCAAGAGATGGAAAGAGTTACAGCCCAAGCCAGCTAGCATGAGCCAGCTGTGGGTGACTAACTGCAGTGTAGACCTACCGTTCGTGTAAAATGAATACAGAAGAAGTGGCAATCAGCTTTAAAATATTTAATGTTAAAACTCTGCTTTCTTGAGATTAGGGATGTTAAATTTAGATTAACTGGCTAATCCAATAGTTGATGCAATTTGCATTGACCATTCGGTTAGTTGATAAGCATGCCTCCGTTATCTACTATTGTTTCAACTAATTTGCCTGGTACTGATGTTAGACTTACCAGTCTATAATTGCCAGGATCGCTTCTAGAGCCCTTTTTAAATATTGGCGTTACATTAGCTATCTTCCAGTCATTGGGTACAGAAGCTGATTTAAAGGATAGGTTACAAACCATAGTTAATAGTTCCGCAATTTCACATTTTAATCACAGCTGATAACACCAGTAGGATAACACAATGCAACATGAAATCGATGCAGTGCGTCCAATCAATAGCTGTTCTGTATCAAAAGGAAAATAAATGTTATCACTGAAAGAGGATTTTAAAGCTGATTAGAGCGACTAGTCTGTCAACTCAGACTTTAAGGTCAGAAGGGACCATTATGATCATCTAGTCTGACCCCCTGCACAGTGCAGGCCACAGAATCTCACCCACCCCTCCTAGAATAATCCTTTCACCTATATCTCAGATATTGAACCTTCAAATACTTTGAAGACCCCAAGATGCAGAGATCCTCCAGCTGTGATCTGTACCCCAGGGCCTCTGCCAATCTACTCTGGAGAAAAATTCCTTCCCGACCCCAAATATGGCGATCAGCTAAACCCTGAGCATGTGGGCAAGACTCACCAGCCAGACACCCAGAAAGTTCTCTATAGTAACTCCTATCATCCCTCCATTGACCTATTTACCACTGATAATGAATGGTCAATTAGTTACCAAGATCATGTTATCTCATCAAACCATCCCCTTCATAAACCCATCTAGTTTAATCTTGAAGCCAGATAGATCTTTTGCCCCCACTACTTCCCTTGGAAGGCTATTCCAGAACTTCACTCCTCTAATGGTTGGAAACCTTCGTCTAATCTCAAGTCTAAACTTCCTACTAGCCACCTTATATCCATTTGTTCTTGTGTCTACATTGGTATTAAGCTTAAATAATTCCTCTCCCTCCCTGGTATTTATCCCTCTAATATATATTTGCTTATCGGATAGTAGACTAGTCGTTCACATTCCTACTTGAGATACCTATAACTATAAATAATGAGCTATTTATTATAAACTTTAAAAGATCTTTAGATACCCCTAAATATATATTTAGTTTTTGCTCCGATTGGACTAGTCCTTGGCTGAGAACCATACAGAAAAAGTTATAAGAGGGATGGAAAGAAGACTTTGGTTTCTTTGATGGAGGGGAGGGGGAAGAGTTACTGAGTGCAGGACCGATCCACGGACAAAAGTTGGAGCAGTCCACAGCAGGAGTGGAAATGGATAGGAAGTGGCCCATGGTCTGGAATTTGCCCACTCCTTTTCTTTACGCCTGAGTTTGAATAAAGAATCTAATTACCTTACCCATTACAAAGATAGCTTCCCCAATTATCACCTCTAATATCATTAGCTCACAGACATTTACCTTCCCCCCCCCCTCCCCCCGTTCTGAAATTTGATTTGTCGTTTTCATATGTGTTCATTTTTTTTAATTGTATCCTTTGGTATATACAGTTATGACAATTTTCTTCCACTATTTGATCTGAGGAAGTGGGTCTGGCCCACGAAAGCTCATCACCTAATAAACCATCTTGTTAGTCTTTAAAGTGCTACATAGTCCTGTTTTTTATTCCTTTTCTATAGGCACACTGCGCACGCTAAGTGTAGTAGTAGTAGCAGTAGCAGCAGATGCAACGGTCTCTAACATTCTGCCTATTCATAGAGCATAGTACTGGTGCTGTTTGTAGACATACTGCTTCCCCAATGCACCATTAGAAGCAGACACTGAAAATTATTAAATACCTGATTCAACAATATTTAAACATTTAAAGAAATCCCAATCTTATTCAGCAAACACTTGAGCACATGCTTACTCATACGATTACGTGCTTTGCTGCATAGGAATAGGATTACTCAGACACAAAGTAAGGCATAATTCAATGCCTAAGAGTTCATCAGGGGAGGGTGAAGGAGAAGAGTGACAGACTGGAGAGGAGGAAGTGCAGAGTGGAAGAGAACTGAAGGTTACAAGTGGGAGAAGTTTCTGTGGGAGTGGTTGGAGAAGTGGCCCAGGGAGAGGCTATTATTCTGTGGGGATAAGGACAAGAGCCCCACTAGTGGCTGTTACCACACTGAAAATTATTAAATACCTGATTCAACAATATTTAAACATTTAAAGAAATCCCAATCTTATTCAGCAAGCACTTGAGCACATGCTTACTCATACATGGAAGGATTTTCCCCAAGTCAGTGACTTGCCTGTGATGAGAATGGCTCATTAAGTGGGCACCCTTACCTCTGGGAGAGACAAGAGGTAGTGGGAGGGTTACCATGAGTCTGAGGCATATTAAAAAAACACCAGGAGACATGGGAACCAAGGGGTACAATTAGAGCTCTGCCACAGTGTGTGTGTGCGCGCGCACGCACACGCACTATAATATGCAATATACACAGTTTTAAAAGTTAAAGCCTCCTATAAAGAAGTTAAACCCTCTTGTTTAAAGAAGAACATTTTCTTCTACATTTTAATGGTGAATGTATGAATTAATAATACAGCATACCGACTCACACTCAATTTAAAAATACTAGTAACATATGAAATTCTTTCCCACTTTTCTTGTACTAAAAAATGGCCATCTAAATTATGCCAAACAATAACTGCAGGACTCACAACTGTAAAAAAATCAAAAGCAAACTGCTTGAAAAATAAATACAAATGTTTAAAATGTCTTTTTGACATAAAGGACTGTATTTTCAAAATACTGTAATTCCTTTTCCCCGCTTTAAAAACATTAGAGGGGGAAATTGTGCACGAAATATTTGTAGGAAATGTTTTTGCCTGAAGACTATCTAATGTGAGTTTGCATCAAGTTACTCAGCTGACAGATCTATGAACAGTTATGTCTTCTAGAAGTGCTATAACTCTGCAGGAGAATAAAATGTAGATCTACATCAAAGCCTTGTATATCCTGTTTCTTTGTTTTTTAAATAATCAACTGGAATTTTTATCACTTATCTTTACTAGTTCTGAATATTGTTGGGTGACACAATGATAGAAATGCTGGTACTGTGTTTATACTAATTCACCTGACATACTATTGTACTAAAAAGTTACCGAAAATGCAAAAGAAATCATACTTGCTCTCAAAGCTACAACTTCATATTTTAGTTTAAAATTAATTGGTCTTGAAAATATTAAATTGTGTATTTATTGCCATGCTAAAAATAGAGAGCATACAAAATAAGCCCAGCTTTCCAAAATTATATTAAACTGCAGCAAGTAATTCTTCTGACAGTCAAGGAAAATATTAGTTTCATAACTACCATCAGAAGAAAAAAAAAATCGGGGAATAGATTTTATGTTTAGGCTGGTAAATTTTTATATTTTGCAAAGCTGAAATATGGGGCAAAGCAGAGAACCCCACCAGTTTCACTACACTATGTCACTATGGCCACATCTCCACTTACTGGACGATCAATGCTCTGATGATCAATCTTCCAAGGTCCAATTTAGCGGGTCTTGTAAAGACCCACTAAATCGAATGCTGAGGATTCTCCTGTCAGCACCAGTACTCCTACTCCTCGCAAGGAGTAAGGGAAATTGATGAGACTGTTTCTCCCGTTGACCTCCCGCTGTGGGGCCACCTCAGAAAATCAGTACAAGGTACATCAATTCTACCTGGAGTTGTGTATCTTGCATCGATTTTCTTCACTACTGTAGACCAGGCCTAAATAATATGAAAACATACGTATCTGTGTTGGCCATTGCAGAACAATATTACAAATGAAATTAAATTGTTTGAGAGACTTTATAACTTTTTTTTCAAACTATATTCAGACCTCTAATAATTCCAAGCACTATGTAATACCATAGTTTTTGCTTCTGACAACCTTGGTCAGCTGCCTAAGTATGTGGCAGAAAGGTGTAAAAATCCTTTTTAAAAGTTATTTTGCCTCAATAATGAAGAGGCAATTGTGTCATGGGCAGTAATTGCTGGCTCTGGGCTGGCAGGCCTGGAACTGGCACAGGCACTGTGGCCAAACAGACTCTACCCCTTTAAGGGCTCCGGGGAGGGTTGGGAGGAGAGGAGTTTTCCTGGTTATGACCAGAGGGGCCAGCAGGGCACCCTGGGAAGGGCTGGAGGCCCCCTATTTCAATCAGTCTCACACATACAGAATGGGAAGCGACTGTCTAGGAAGGAGTACTGCAGAAAGGGACCTAGGGGTCATAATGGACCACAAGCTAAATATGAGTCAACAGTGTGACACTGTTGCAAAAAAAAGCAAACATGATTCTGGGATGCATTAACAGGTGTGTTGTGAACACGACAAGAGAAGTCATTCTTCCACTCTACTCTGCACTGATTAGGCCTCAGTTGGAGTACTGTATCCAGTTCTGGGCACCATGTTTCACGAAAGATGTAGAGGAAATTGGAGAAGGTCCAGAGAACAACAAAAAAAAATGATTAAAGGTCTAGAGAACATGACCTACGAGGGAAGACTGAATGAATTGGTTTTGTTTAGTTTGGAAAGGAGAAGACAGAGGGGACATGATAGCAGTTTTCAGGTATCGAAAAGGGTGTCACAAGGAGGAGGGAGAAAAATTGTTCTCCTTAGCCTCTGAGCATAGGGCTTAAACTGCAGCAATGGAGGTTTAGGTTGGACACTAGGAAAAACTTCCTAACTTTCAGGGTAGTGAAACACTGGAATAAGTTGCCTAGAGATGTTGTGGAATCTCCATCTCTGGAGATATTTTAAGAGCAGGTTAGATAGACATCAGGGATGGTCTAGACGGTACTGGGTCCTGCCATGAGGGCAAGGGACTGGATTCGATGACCTCTTGAGGTCCCTTCCAGTTCTAGTGTTCTATGAATCTATGAAATATTTTACTGATGTTTTAAAAAAAGTCACACCAGTTAACTGGTGGAAGTCACTTAAGCACTTGGATTCAGAGACTATTGAAGTGATAATCTCACTTTCTACACCAGCAGAAGAAGCTACTGCTAATGAAAGAATATTTTCTTCCTTTGAACTAATTCATTCCAAATTAAGAAATTGTTTGGGACCTGATAAAGCAGGAAAACTAGGGTTTTTTCCCCAGATTATGAACAAACAGGAAAATATGAAGGTGAAGACGACCAAGTTAGTTGCAAAAGGAAATATTATAAGTTTCTCATGGTGACCTGACATATATTCTAAAATACAAAAACTAAATTATAATTGCTTGAAATAGTTAAAAGAAAGTTAACAAAAACAAATCTGATTCTAAAAAAATGAATTATGTTTACATTTAAAAAGTGTATATGCTTGTTTTGTTAATGCTTTCTGTTGGGGAAAAAAATCAAAATACATAATGTTGTTGTTGTTTTAGTTAAATAAAACCATGTAAATGTCTGTCTGGTGATGTTCTCCCCTAGTACAGCATGGCAAGAAAATCCTCCAAATATTAATGATTAACTTGGAGATAGTTTACCTCCCAATGACTTCATACATATCTGCTTCAAATATCTGTGGTAAATGAAATAAACAATCATTCATTTTCTGATATAGCTGCTTAAAAATGTATAGTATATACCTCCTAAAAATGAAATCTATGTCTATCTTAGAATCGTGAAAAATACGTATTAAGGTTAAAACAACCAACAAGAATGCACTTTTATGTAGAAAACCATGATTAAATCAAATCTTCCTGACTAGAGATTTAAATTAAATCCACCCTGTCAATGGCAAAATTAGAAACAGAATCTAAGTATCCTAAATACCAGCCTCCTAGCCTAACCATTAGAATATCATCTGTGGGTGGAGGGGACCCTCACTGTTCACTTTTGGGTCACAGAACAGACAAGAATATAACTTGGAATGTTAAATAGAAAATGGTACTTACAGACACACAAGACCACAACGAAAATCACATATGTGATCAGTTCTCGTAAAACACTCTTCAGGTATCTCTCTCTGCTCGTGTTTTCTTCCATCAGTCTTGTACCCCACAGCCTTTAGAGAGAATTTTTTTTTAAAAAATACACATATGGCATCACCTATTAGTCACATTACTAATGTACTTGAATTAATATATTTTTGTGTGACACAAACCATGAAACAATTTTTGATGCACTTTCTTCTGTAAGATTTTAAACTGAAGAAATACAAGCTTCGTAGAACTACCTTAACTGGATACATAACTGGTTAAACAACAGCAAGAGTAACTATTAATGGAATTGTATCTGAATGGAAGGAGGTCTCAAGTGGGATTCCACAGTGTTATATTCTTGCTCCAGTGTTATTTAACATTTTTATGAATGATCTGGAGGTAAAGACCAAAATCATATGGATCAAATTTGCAAACACGACAAGGCTGGGGAGGGAGATGGAAGATTTCAAATACTTTGAAAGATAGAACTTACGTTCATATGGATCAACAAGGCTGGGGAGGGGGATGGAAGATTTCAAATACTTTGAAAGATAGAACTTACGTTCAAAGGGATCTTGAAAAATTGGGCTATGGACAACAACATGATTTTCAACAAAGGCAAATTTAAAATGCTACTAAGGGGCTGTGCCCCCTGCTCACTATGCTCGCCACAAATTTAAAATGCTACTAAGGGGTTGTGCCCCCTGCTCACTATGCTCGCCAACCCCCCTCTCTGGGGTGTAGGAAGCTCCGGCTCTCCCACCAGCCACCGGGGAGGTCCAGGCTGAGGCACCCGACCCCACTGAGGTCCTGCTAGCCCTGACTCTCCCTCCACCACCCAACCGCTGGGGGGTTGGGTGAGGGCGAGGCTGGCCGGACTCTCTCCCTCCAGCTGCCAGGGGGCTGGGCTGAGGAGTGAGGCTCCTGCTCCCCCCTGCAAGGAGGGAGGGTGCACAGCTCCTGGTCCCCCACCGCCCCCAAAAGGAAGGAGACCTGATGGCTCCAGTCCCTCCTCACAACAAGGGGGGAGGCCTGGGGCCTCCAGTCCCCACCCCCTCAGCCACTAGGGTTGCCAGGTGTCTGGATTTCTACCAGGCAGTCCTATATTTGCGCCCTCTGACCAGTAGAAAAATTCAGAAAATACCAGACATGTGCAATGTCCAGTATTTTCTGAATTTCCGGCTGGGCACCGGATGGAAGCCTGGCGGGGGCGGGGGAGCCACCGGGGAAGCGGGGCGTGATCGGCTCTGGGAGCCCTGGTTGCGTGTGAGGAGGAGGGGGAACCCGGTCCATACTCCTGCG